TTATACCATAATATAAATTATTTATCATAAATTTAAAATATAAATAATATATTTTAAAAAATTTACTTATACAAATTTTAAATATAATTTATATATTTAAACATGTAGTATTTATTTACATATATAATTTTATCATAAATTTGAGATATATATAATAAACATTTAGTATATGCATTGTACAAACTAAAATACTAATTGAAATTTAATTCATAAATAAATATAATAAATAAATAAAATTTAATGAGGTAAAAAAGTTGTAAGAGTTCTTTAAAATATTCTCATTAAAAATTAACTCTTAAAAATACTCTATATAACAATCTATTAAATCACGATCTGACTACTAGTAGCAAAAATAACATATAAAATTATCTAAGTTTGACTTCAAGTTAGAGCTGTCAAAATGGGCTTGGCCCGGCGAGCCAACCCGGCTCACCACGGGTTCGAGCCGGGTTGGGTTAAAAAAAATTTGAAAATTTTAATACGGGTCAAATTTGAACCCGGCTCACCACCAACCCGGCTCACCCGGGTTGAACCCGTGGTGAGCCGGGCTGGCCCACCAACCCGTGATTAATTTTTTTTTTGAAAAAATACAATAATTATTGGGTCATGGTGCAGTCCAACATGAGACAATAATAATTTAATGTTAGATTGTGATATGTAATTTTTGTGATTTTGGATTGTATTTGAAGTTTAAGATAATTTTGGATTATATTTATCTATTTGAGATTATTTAGATTTGATTTGATTGTATTTAAAATTATCATTTAATGTTTGGGATGAATAATTCATTTAAGGATGTCTTAATTAAGAATCTCAGATTTTTAAAATAAGTTTAAATTTTTGGGCTTTAGTTGTATATTAAGAAAAAAAAAATGAAAAAAATTATTTTTTTTTTAAGGTGAGCCAACCCGTTTAACCCACCAACCCGTGGTGGGCCGGGCCGGGCTCGATTTTTTTTGAGCTCACTGATAAGTGAGCCGGGTTGGGTTGGCCCACCAAATGGCCAACCCGTGGTGGGCTGGGCCGGGCCGGGCCGGGTAGCCCGTTTTGACAGCTCTACTTCAAGTAGTACTTAGATATACATGCTTTAATATATACATGTATAAAAATTTATCAACAACTAAAACAAAATATAATAACCCATCCATGGGACTGAAACAACAACTATACAAGTGTGTGTATATATATGTGTATATATATATATATATATGTTAAAAGTGTAAATTTAGGTTGTCAGTCAAAAAACAATTACAAAAGAACTACTACCCAAATGTAGCAAAAAATAATACCACCATCCAACATGACTCTCAACTCAAACTCGTATAAATGATTATTATAGTCCAACCATAAAAAAAAAACATAAAAAAGTAAGTTAGTGACTAAAAAAATTCAATAAGATATAGAAGTATTAAACTAGATGTAACACAACTTAAACAATGCAACATGCAACCACAATTTGAAGTAGAAAACATCAAATTCACCTCAATATACTTCTCAAGTAGCAAAACCCAACTTCAACACTCAAATCTTACCCAATATAATCACCGTTTTGTGGAATCAACCAACATACAACTCAAATAGTCTATTAAGAACTAAGATTTTATATTCCCTTACTTTGAAATTCATGAGAAAAGAGGAAGAAGGGGAATCATCACCACTTTTAGTTACTTTAAATGAAACTAACAAATCTTCGATTCTCAACTTTTGAAACTTAGAGTCTCGATCTAGTTATACAATTTTCACTTAGGAAGACTTTATATCACTTTTTAGAGGGTCGAGAAGAAGAAGAGAACATCTTAGTTCCAAAGCTCTTATATTTAACTTATCATTAAATTTATTTAAAAAATGAATTTATAAAATTCAAGTCTTGAAAAAAATTCTATATATCTTCCCTTGGAGGTTAAACTTGATCTTTACCTAAAAAAAACTTCAAACCAACTAAAACTCATAAAAAATTCCTTAATTTTCAAAGTTTCTCAACAATCAAATAACAAATCACCAAAACACATAATTTAATAAAATCAACAATTATAAAAACGTATAGTGTTATACTCTCAATAAAGATAGTCATTCATATTTAATATATAACAATCGATGGTCTTCAAAATATGATTTATATTTTTAAATACATTTATTTATAATCTATAAATTTTGGTTTCTAGTTTTTACTATATAATCTATAATAATTACGATAGGATATCTTTTTGATCATTATTATATTCGTTTAGCCTTGATTTTTATTAAGTAACATAACCAACTGTTTCTCTACATTTAATTTTTCTATTTAACTTAACTATATCTTTTTCTTTGTAGAGTTACATTTATTATTTAACCTTTATTTTATCTCATTTAATTATCATCTTTTAAAATAATATGAAAGAGATCCATATTTAATTATAATTTATATCCTTTCATTTTAGAAGTATCTATTTATTTATTTATTTTTAATAAATTATAATAATATAAATATTTATCCTATAGAAAGCATATAAATACTAGTTATATGTAAAATGCGTATTCATGAGTAAATCTGTATCATTATCCCGTTCCAACCCAAAGTCATTTTTATGTGTTGGTGTTTAATTAGGAAACTAGATCTATGTATTTTGAAGATGAATTTATATCATACTTTTGATTATTTCAACTCGGCTTAATATTTTGTCATTTTAAAATATAATTTTACATTAATAAAATGTTTACATAACATATTATTATATATATATTTTAAATAAATATAAAATATAGCTTAATTATAATTATATGTTTATTTATTTTTATGAGTTAACTATATAATATTATGATTGATATGTCATGACTACAAATCAAGTTGAAATAGTAAAAAATATGATATATCACAATTTACTCTTTTATATGATCAATTTTAAATAAATTAAATTAAAATTCAAATAAACATCCTTGACACTATTTCGTGAATAACATATAAATAATTTTATCAACATTTTCTTTCTATTAGAGAACATATATAAACTCCTCCCAACTCATTATATATTACTAGGAAGCAGAAAAAAAAGTATTTCAGGCTTGTTCTGGGACATATAATTGATCTAATGATCTTAGATTCAATTATTTATGCATGTATTAAAAGAATATAAACCAATATGTGTTAAAGTATATTTTTTATTTTATTTTTATAGTCATAATCACTCATGTGGATTTATTAAAAATAAAGTAGGTAAGAAAAATATCAATAAGATTATTTATTACTATTCTTTTTTTCCCCAATAAGTGTAATATTAAAAAATATAAGTCTTAAAATAAGTGTTATTTAAAATTTTTCAATTTAGTATTAATTATTATTATTTTTATTTATGATCACAATAATTTTTTTTAGTATTATCGTTTTCTTTCGTTTATAGCAAAATAATTTAAAATAAGGTTATTTTATAAAGGAAAATATAATTATATAACATTATTTTTCTGTATTATATGTATCTATCACATTATTTATTATATTTATTAACGATGGAGAGATAAGTAAAAAAAAAAATTGTATAAATTATTGCAAGTATATCATTAAGCTTTTGGAAATTACTATTCTATTTTATATATTTATTAAATTTTAATTAGTAATATTTAGAATGATATTTATCATACGATAGAAAAAGTAGTATAAATATTTGAAGGGTAATTATTGATTAAAAAAAGAATGTCGTATGAAATTGTTGTAGAATGTGTTACAGTCTATGAATAAAAAAACGGAAGAAGGGAAGATATAGGTAGTAGTAGTAGTTGCTGTCCCGCCTGTGCGGTTATTCACTTGGTCACGTCACTGTGTGAAAAGAAGCTGACTGGAAAGAGCGAAAAGCGAAGGAAGAAAGAACGAACGAACGAAAGCTAAAAAGTGTGTTTGATTGATATACTGATTACTCATTCAGGGTTTCCGCGTCGATCTCTCTCTTTGTTTCTTCGCTCTTCGCCATGGCGGAGCGTGCTTCTTACGGATTGGGACCTCGATTAGGTCATTTTTCCCCCATTGTTTCTGTCCTTGATTTTCTACTTCTTTTTCTTTCTGTTAAACTAATGTTTAATTAATACTTGTAGAATGCCTGGATCATGCTGTTTGGGTTTTTTCGGAACGGTTTAGCGTAACCTAACTTTCGTGAAATTTCGATTACTGATTCTGGGATTCTGGAAATGAGTTAATTCATAGGGGGCTTCGGCTTATTTTGTGTGTGAAAAGTCTGTTTAGGTTTTTTTATCGGAAATGACCTGGTTAGTTCAATTAGGGCTTTTGGGTGAAAATGAAGTACGACTTTGATGGCGTTTACTCGATTGTCTGTTAGGTGCTACGGATTGGTATTGGTTCGCATTGAATAGAATATATGTTCCTCTGCTGAAAAGTTTTATAACTTTTTTATTGTTGTAAGAAAAGTTGGCACTCTGTGCTAATTGGCAAAAAAGCTATTGTGTCTGCTGGAAAATGGGCTTGTAACAGTTTTCATCTTATTTCAAATGGTAAAACAAACTATTCACTGCTCTGCTTTCTGTTGTATAAATTTATGTGGTTCAAAGAAATTCTCCTACAGCCGTGTCCTCACTGAATTTTCACTATGTAATGAGAGACATGCCCTTTAAGAGATTGGGTGCCTTTCCTTATTCATTTCCCTTCAACCATTTCAGAGTCACTTAATCGCTTTTTACCCATTTCCTCAAGGAAAAGTTATAAAGCTAGGTCATCTCTTTGTTTGCTTTAACTTTATGAACAGCAACATCCTTTGTTTCTGTGATTTGAAAAGCCAGCAATATTTGTAGTTGAGATTCTCAACTTAAAGCCCTTTCACCCATGGTGTTAGCATAGCCAATACCATCTCTTCTGTTGTCAAAATCTCCACAAAAGGATGCTTCAATTAAACCTTCCCGAGTGCCTCTTTTTAAGACAAAGGGACTGTGTTATGTTTGTTGTTACCTCTCAATTACCAAAGGATCCATTCCTCAGTCTCTTGATGTTGCTTCCCTAATTAGCTATGAACCTGCTCATGACTCCACATGTGATGGCAGTTCTGGTAGAATCAATTGCATGCTTTTGACTACCAACTACTAAAGCATCAGGAACTTGATACATGAGATGATGTTATTCTTCTATCATGGGTAATTGATCCCTAGCCTGAAGTGACTTGCCATAGAAGTGGTAACAAATTTTTAATGATTTAACTCCTTTTTCAAGCTGCTTTCTTCCAATCAGTTCTCATCTCAAGAATTTGTCCTGCAGTTGCCAATTTCTTAATAGGAAATTGTTTTGGTAGTTTTTGTTTTAGCATATTGATCCTGTGGATGTTAAGTACTCCATTAACTATAGCACCATTGTAAATGAATAAGATAATATAGCAATCATCAAAATTTAAATGAGCTGCAGCAGCAATCTATATAAATCTCCTAAAGCAAACAAGTCATAGCTACACATGAATAAATCAAATTTCTTATGCATGTGAGATTGTAAGAATTAAAGTTATTCTTATTGATATTGTTGGTGTGGCTGTATTGATTCTTAAAGTTTGCTTCAATCATTACATTGAGCATGTGATAATACAGCAGTCAATCTTAAGTGAATGCCATTTTCTATTATTTATCAATTTGCAGATATTCAGCAATTACAGCTTGAAGCTCAGCATAGGTGGTTGCGCCCTGCAGAAATATGTGAAATTCTTCGCAATTATCAGATGTTTCAAATCACGCCAGAACCACCTAACAAGCCACCGAGTATGGTTTCTGCATATGTTACTGATAAGTTTATTACCACCACTTATGTGAGCCTTGTCAATATATGGGTAGACTGAAATGCTGAAAATTACTAATTTTTCCATAAATTGTTTTTTGCAACTGGGTATTTCTGAGGTTGTCTGGCAACCTTATATTCCCAATTGTCTTTGTCTGTCTTGAAGCAAAAGACTTGGTTAAATTTCCCATATTGTCTTAAGTTTTCTGACAATCTTATAGATCCAAAAGATCTTTGTTTCACAGCAAAGGGCACCTGATAGTTTCTTGCATAATCTTGTCTAGTTTCTAGGGTACTAATAATAGTTTTATAGTTCATGATAAAGTCTTGCTTCATTGTTAACTTTAATTCACCTTCAGCTCTAATTATTGCTTCGTGTTCATAATGACATTGCTTCTTGACATGTATTTAATGATTGCAGGTGGTTCCCTTTTTCTTTTTGATCGGAAGGTTTTAAGGTACTTTAGGAAGGATGGACATAATTGGAGAAAGAAAAAAGATGGAAAGACTGTGAGGGAAGCTCATGAGAAGTTGAAGGCAAGCATGATTTTATTTTATTTTTGATTTTTGTTGAGTTTTTGGTTAATAAACTCTTTGTAAGACAAGCATATATATAGATAACTCCAATTATTTCAGTTTTTTTTTTCTCTAACTGGGAAATAATTCTCTATGCCCTAAAAAATTACTTGCTGAGATTGTAACATTTTTTGAGAAAATATAGGTGGGAAGTGTTGATGTGTTACACTGCTACTATGCCCATGGAGAAGAAAATGAAAATTTTCAGAGGCGAAGCTATTGGATGCTTGAACCGTGAGTGTGTTAAACTAGTTTATTTTTTATTTTGTTTAGTAATTGTCTGAATTTCTTACTAAGTACTGTATTACTGTATTTATAATCACCTTTGGTGTCAATTTATAGTTAACTATAACAAGTATATATTACTGGATTTGACAATTTTTTCTGTCTCAGCAAATTTTTAAGTTTCCAATATTCTACCGAAATAATTAATTTTTGTTAAATTAATTAGAATATGAATTTCTTATTTATTTTTTTTACTGCAGGGACATGATGCATATAGTATTTGTTCACTACTTGGATGTCAAGGTATTTTGCTTGTTTTCTTTATCTCACACTTTCTAATTAAGGCATTTTGCTTCCTTACTAGAGCAAGAATTGTATCATTTCTTGGTTTTGTTGCTGGTGCAATTTAGACCTGAGTATGCATGACTTCTTGTAGCTCAAGCCTAGTCTGTTCTGAGTTTTTTCATATACTTAAGACTTCCCCCTAAACTTGATGGAGGAAATAGAGTGCAACTGTACAAGTACGATTTTCCTTCTCTTAACCATTGACTATAATGTGAAGGAAAAATCTATCTCCCATTTGATTTCCTTCTCAATTTCTTGCCATCATGGATTAGGGAATGTGCTTCTTCCTTAACAGTAATCCTGGAAACCTATGTTTAAGTATTATAACATCCACCAAATGGTTACATACTAACGTGCAATATTTGCTATTCTGCTGCTAAATATGTATTTCTCTTTCTTTCTACCATGAGAAGATGTCCTTGATTTGTAATCATTAGAAATCCCAATTCCCAATTGATGTTGCTGAGTAAGTTGCATAATCGTTTTTAAAAGATCCTGAAGTCTATTTCTATAATATTCTTGAAGTCAGGCAGAGAACTTTAGAATCTAATATTAACTTGCTTGTTTGATGACTTATTGATAGGTGTTTTGTCGGTTCTTCATCTTTCAGGTTAACAAAACCAATATTGGTGGAAATACATATACTAATAATGAGGCTTCATCAGATTCCCAGAAGGACAGTTCTTTGTCATCTGGCTTTCCCAGAAGTTATGGTAGTGTGCCTTCAGGAAGCACAGATTCCATGAGCCCAACTAGCACTTTGACATCATTATGTGAAGATGCTGATTCAGGTAATTCTGATATATTTATTTAATGGTTGTTACACTGGGTTCTTTTGATCTGAATTAACATGCCAAGGCTTTAAATATATTGGTTTACTGTTATCGATATATTTACACAACTGTTGTGTCCATTTGGTCTAAATGGTTTAATCAAATCTCTTCCTAGAGGATATTCATCAAGCGAGTTCAGGATTACACACTTATCGAGAATCACAAAATTTGGGGAATGATTGTTTGAAGGACAAGATTGATGCTAGTTCAAATAGTTCATATGTTGTGCATCCATTTTCAGGTTATCTTGTCTTCTTTTTTCTTTGTGGTCTTGGATGATTCTTTTGTAACTTTTATTTTGTTTAAATCATAGGGTGTTATATATAGAGGGAGGAAATGGAGATCAAAAGAGAATGAATACACTAATACTGATATTGACTTTATTTCATATTGACTTACATGTGTTATAAAGTGGTACAAAACACAAAATACTAATCCATATTTAAATAAGGAAGCAAACCCAAGATAACAAGGAAATATGGAAACTAGTCCTACGATGCTCTAAATTATTATAAGATACAATCAAGATATTGGATAATTTTCCATATTCTAACATAGTTAAAGCCTTAAATAATGTCTTAATTATCAACTTTTTCTGAGATTTGACATCTGAATTTTGTTGGATGTTTTGAAACATTTTCAGGTGATCATGGGCAGTTACCAATTTCTGGAACAGAATATGTCCCCCTTGTTCAAGGTGAGAGGTCTGGAGCAAGTGATACCACCTACATTGAGGGTCAGAGTGTGCATGGCATTGCATCCTGGGACTATGCCATGGAACAGTCTACTGGAAAGCATACCAATCCTTCTCTTGTTTCATCTACATCCATTCCATCAAGTGCATTCGGAAATGTCTCCACTGAAGAGGAAAGGAACTCTCAGCCTGTCCAATCAAATTGGCAGGTACTTATTGTTATTGCTTGCTATATCAATAGTGTACTCTTGCTTGCGTGCATACATCTGAATTCTCAGCATAAAGATGAGTATCATTTGTGAGGTTCTATTGGGAGTAGTTGTGCTATCTTGTAGTTGTTGGATGGGACAATGTCTGGAAAATGATGTCCCAGAAACCATAGTTACTGCTCCTCCTGGGGCAGTTGTGTCATGCCTGGCTGTCACAATAGGTTTTGTGGCGAATAGCAGTCAGCTTTTCAGAGGAGGCATTGAATCTTCGTGTTTCTTGTCAATTACTCTTTTTTTTTTTTTTTTTTCTCTCTCCCTAGAGCTCCTGCACCTTTGTGCTTCTGTTTAGCACTTCTGCTTCTGCAACATCTTCCTGCTTCCTCACGTTTGTCAACATCTGTTCTGCAACTTCTTGCATGACAAAATGGTGAAGTGAGGAGGTGGCCCTGATGGGAGAAAGAGGCTATTGTTTTTTCCTTGGGTGAGAGGGGGTGTTGGGCTTGCACCTCAAACTGGGCCACTCCATCAAAAACAGTTCTACAGCTTTTATTTATTTATTTATTTTTTATTTTCCTTTTTATTATTAATCATATATTATAGAAGACTATGTGATACTCTAATATTTAAAATACAGAAAATATTAATACATAATTATATAATATAGTTTTATATAATTGAGACAAATGCATAACATAATACAATATGCATGTGTATATATATATGTGTGTGTGTGTGTATGAAGGAAAAAATGTAATTACTACATAGAATTAATATAATAAGTATATGTATTTAATAATAAGTAGAAGTTATATAAAATATTATTAAATGAATACATATATTGTTACACACTCACACACGGGGCATATCAAATGAGAACTATAAATCTGAGTCATACAAGAAAACATGGATAGTCAAAATTTAAAATTAATTTGTGGTCATATGACCACTTAAAGAAGTCATGTGCACTTTTTCTTATAATTCTTATTATTCAAAATATAATGTAATTGTCTATATTTATAATTCTCATTTCTTACAAAAAAAAGAGTTTGCATTTGATACGTTCCCTATCTATCTATATTGGCCATCCCACTATGCTATTGACTACTGTGGCAGAAAGCCAGAAACATTACTTTGCCGATTAAAGTTCTAAGTGCATACTGCTTACTATGTGGTTGTTTTGTAATGTTCTATCCTTGAAGATCAAGACATCATTGCTAATGGAATTGATGCTTGATGAGAGGTGTATGGTTCACCTATTCTTTTATCTTGGAAAAAGGGAGAATTGATTGAGGACAGGAGTTGTTGCTTGATATATAAAAAATATCAAGAGATTATAGAAGATGAATTTATGGAAAAAGTGGCCTGGGAATAGTTACCCTCTTTCCAGGGAGTTAGTCATTCTCCCATGTGTTGTATTAAGTTGCAATACATATGATGAACTGGGATGGAGCGTATTCATAACTTGTTACTGGTCTACACGTGTGGCACTGAATGTTTTGAATTGTTTCTGTACTTGTAGAAATGTTAGAGAAGAGACCATAGTAGGGTTTGTATTATATTTTTTATTTTTATTACAAACTTACATTTATAGTTGATGTTACTTTGTCCTGATGTATCCTTATTTGGTCTGCTGGAAAAAAAATTGTAGTTTGACTTTGATGGGGGTGGTGGCTGTGCATTGGCTTGGTGTCAATTTTATATTTGGTCTGCAATATTTTAACCTGTAGTGGTATCTCTTAAGCAAAAGCTTCAACTTGCACTAGTTTGTGAGATTTAGCAAGGATATATAACATTTTCATTTTGTTATTTTAATTGTTGATTCAGATTACTTTTGAAGACAATACAGGAGAATTGCCTAAGTGGGGCTTTACCCAATCATCGGGTTTGGAACTTGGATCTGATTATATTCCTAGTTTACTGGGTGATGTGACTAATAATGCAAGTCCAGAAACTGTTCCTGAGCTGTTCACTTTTAACGGCGAGGCTAAAGAACAGTCAGTGCATCAAAACTTCTCAAAGCAATATACACAAGCACAATCTCAACCTGCGCTGAAATCCAATTCTGAGTATGAAGTTCCTGGTGAAGCAAATATCAACTATGCCTTGACGATGAAGCGTGGATTATTGGATGGAGAGGAGAGCTTAAAGAAGGTTGATAGTTTCTCTAGGTGGATTACTAAAGAACTTGCAGGTGTGGATGATCTGCATATGCAGTCTTCCCCTGGCATTTCATGGAGCACAGATGAATGTGGGGATGTGATTGATGATACCTCATTGAACCTGTCCCTGTCTCAGGACCAGCTGTTTAGCATAAATGATTTTTCACCTAAATGGGCTTATGCTGAATCAGAAATTGAGGTACTTTGATTTGGATATGAGATTCAGACAATTAAAATGTACTTTAGCAATTGTTTATGGTTTTACAGATTGTTTTTCTTGTCTTGTTTGTGGGGGGAACAGTAATTAAATATGTATGGTATTTGGAATACTTCAGATTAATATCTTTTTATCTTTTGCATTGTATATTGGCTGTCCTTTTCTAGCTCAGATGCATATAGTTTTGTTCTATATTTATTTATTTATTTGGATATTTACCAATTTGTACCGATTTCTTTGTTACTTAATATTTCTTGTATTTCATGATGTGTCCTGATTATATTCCTTATCTGCTTTGGAGTTTGTTACTTGATTAACAGTTTAATCATTTTTCTGTTTCTACAACATGGATGAGGAGAAGTCGGACTTTAATTTTACTGACATCTTATCCTATTCAAAACCATACAGGTATTGATTGTTGGAACATTTTTGAAGAGTCAACCTGAGGGGGCAACATGTCACTGGTCCTGTATGTTTGGGGAAGTGGAGGTTGCTGCTGAGGTTTTAGCTAGCGGAATTCTGTGCTGTCAAGCTCCACCTCATAAAGTTGGTCGAGTTCCCTTCTACGTTACATGTTCCAATAGGTTTGCTTGTAGTGAAGTTCGGGAATTTGAGTACAGAGAGGGATTTGATAGAAACATAGATTTTGCAGATTTTTTTAACAGTTCAACTGAAATGGTGCTTCATTTGCGACTGGTTGGGTTACTGTCTTTAAACTCGGTACACACTTCGTATCAAGTGTTTGATGGTGATATGGAGAAAAGAAACTTAATTTTCAAGCTTATTTCACTGAAGGAGGAAGAGGAATATTCAAGTAAGGAAGAGGCAACTGTTGAGATGGATATATCAAAACACAAACTGAAGGAACATATGTTTCACAAGCAGGTTAAAGAGAAGTTGTACTCATGGCTACTTCACAAAGTAACTGAAACTGGTAAAGGGCCTCTTGTACTAGGAGAGGAGGGGCAAGGCGTGTTTCATTTAGTTGCTGCTCTTGGTTATGATTGGGCTATAAAACCAATCATAACTGCTGGAGTCAATATCAACTTCCGTGATGTGAATGGATGGACAGCTCTACACTGGGCTGCATTCTGTGGCCGGTAAAGTCCTAACTTTTTGTTATTGTTTTGAGTTAATTTTGCGTGTTGCAACTTAAGTGGGTGAAATCTCTTTTGCTACCCTGATTATTTCTAATTTTCTAGAGTTTTGGAATTTTGAATTTCATTAAATGAAACCATTCGGTGATATGAAAATTCTAGCCCCTTTCCTGTTAGGAAATCTCCTATCTTTTTGTTTTTTTTACCGTTAATGTTTATTCCGTCTTGATGCCTATTTTTTTATCCAAGTAACGTGTATTGGTTCAAAATTAATTTTAAAGCATTTGCTTTGGTTGGTTAAAGGCAAATTTAATCAATTAATCTCTCTATAGTGTCATGCTTTCAGCATTAGAATATTCCTTTTCAAAAATATCCTCAGATATATTATCTTCATTCAGTATAACATTACTTGGTTCCTTATGTTATTATTTGTTGCCCTTTTTGCTCAGAGAGCGAACAGTTGCAATCCTTGTCTCCATGGGTGCAGCTGCTGGAGCATTGACAGATCCATGTCCAGAATTTCCTTCGGGTAGAACACCTGCAGATCTTGCTTCTGGCAATGGCCACAAAGGAATTTCTGGTTTTCTTGCAGAGTCATCATTAACTAGTCACCTCGAATCACTCACAATGGATGAAAATAAAGATGGTAGGACAGAAACTTCAGGAATGAAAGCAGTGCTAACAGTTTCAGAGAGAAGTTCGACACCTGTGATTCATAGTGATATACCACCTGTGATTTATGGTGATATACCAGATGCTATCTGCCTTAAGGATTCTCTTGATGCTGTTCGTAATGCTACACAAGCTGCTGATCGTATACACCAAGTATTCAGAATGCAGTCATTTCAGAGGAAGCAGTTGGCTGCTCAGTATGAAGATGATGAATTTGGATTATCAAATCAACAAGCTCTTTCCCTCCTAGCTTCTAAGGCACGCAAATCTGGACAAGGAGAGGGTTTAGTCAATGCTGCTGCAATACAAATACAGAAAAAGTTCCGTGGTTGGAAGAAGAGAAAAGAATTCCTGATCATTCGTGAAAGAATTGTTAAAATCCAGGTTCATTGCTCTGCGCTCTTTATTTACCTTCCTTTCTATTTTTAGTCGCTATATGGAAAACTGCGTACAAATTAATCCCCTACCGATTGATAAAGTTATAATGGTTTTAAGAGTTTCTCTTTTCATATAGGAATCATAACAAAAAAATGAAGTGTAGGGGCCAAAATTAAGTTTATTTATTTATATTTATTTTTACAGACCAAAATAAATTGTAATTTTTTTACTTAATGCTAGAACTAAAACGGTGTTTAGCAGAGGCACCAAATCTAATACCATTTCAACGTCAGAAAACTGCACGGATCATATCGTAAATGTTTATTCATGTAGGAACTAAAATATATTTTTTTCCCATGTAGGAACTAAATGAAATATTGTGTAAAGTTTAGAAACTAAATTTTTAATTTTACCTGGCTCGTTTTACTTTGAGGTTGATTTCTCATTCATTGGTCATCCTATCAACTAATATGATATTTAGGTGAAAACCTTGCATTGGAGAGTTCAATTGATGAAAACTTAAGAGGAGTGCTTTTTCTTTTTGCCCTTTATATAACTTGCATGTACGTAGAGATCACGTTGGGTGTCAATCCAGGGGTTAAAGAAATCGTGTTATCCTTCCTTTCATTTGTTGTTGATGTCTTTTCCATTCCATTTCTTCTTTCTAATGTATTTGCAGTCTGGTGTAGAAGGCTGGAGATTGAGCATCCATAGAGCTCTCTTTTCTCATTGTGTGTCTAATATTTTTTTATGTGCCCGTGTACATTTTATACATCCCTCTACTGACTTGAATTCTATGGTATTAAAGGCCCATGTAAGAGGTCACCAGGTGAGAAAGCAGTATAAATCAATCATTTGGTCCGTGGGAATACTGGAAAAGGTCATATTGCGGTGGAGGCGCAAGGGTGCTGGCTTACGTGGATTTCGACCAGAAGTCCTGAACAAGGTCCCTGACCAACAACCAAGCGAATCTGTGAAAGAGGATGATTATGATTTTCTTAAGGAAGGAAGGAAACAGAGTGAAGCAAGGTTCCAAAAGGCCCTTTCACGGGTGAAGTCCATGGTTCAGTATCCAGAGGCACGGGCTCAGTACCGGCGGGTGCTGAATGTAGTGGAGGATTTCCGTCAAACCAAGGTACTATTTTCTAACATATATGTCTTGTCCTACGTACGTATGATGAATATTTGGCTTAATGATATGTTCGGATATCTGGCAGGGAAGTAATTTGAATTCGATGAATTCGGAAGAGACAGTTGATGGTGTGGAGGATTTGATTGATATTGACATGCTTTTAGATGATGAGAATTTCTTACCTATAGCATTCGATTGATTCTCTGCTGTGGCTCCACCTCTCAGTAAATAGATGGCCAGTTGGTTTTATTTGGCATTGGAAAGGTCCTAACATGTACTGCTGTATATATATAATATATAATATAATATCATCAGAAGTCAGAACTGCTTGGATCCTAGGCCTTCCTGTTTTGTAGCAGAAAAAATGGATCCAAGGTTGGGTTATAAATAGATTATGAATCCTAGAATGTGTTCAGGCTTGACAGTTAAAATATATTATAGACATGGTTTAATTTTATATATGGTGATTTGTATATGACAGGATGATTTTATTTAGATTGAAATGTTTTTAATTCTTAAATTGTATCATTTTTATTTTTTAAACTGTCTTGTTTCAATTTCAGTTGTTTTTGTTTTACTTCCGTTTTAAATTGGGTTCATATCGTAAGAACATTAATTATACTAATTATTATGATAAAATGATTTTTTTTTAATTAAAATGGCTTTTGTTCAAAGTGTTAAAATGAAAAGTAATTGTGAATTAATTAAATAATCAAGTAAAATACTAATAAATAAGTATATTGGTGCATATCAATAACAAAATAATTCTAATTTTCTTTTAAAAAATAGTGGATCTAGGATAAAAAAAAATAGCATAATTTAAAATGGAGCATTTTCTTTTATAAGAATTTTTTTATTATTCCTATTGTAATTTAGAGTTCTAACTTGCCAGTGTTTGATTAGGATATAGGAAATTCTAACTGGCCAAATGTAATTTTTTTTTTACTATACACTTGGATTTAAGTTGTTTGTTTGATATTGATAAAATCGGATCCTTTCGCGTAGGCTTTTGGAGTTGATCCGAACTCGTGGTTGATAGGTTAGACAATCTAACGGTGGATGGATTCCATTTCAATCCAGTCAAAAGGCGATTGGTATGAAAATCATTTTCTTATAATTTTTCAAACTCATTCACATCGGTGTAAAAACTTAGACTGACTCAACAAATAATAACAAACTATGCGTACATGATAGTTATAGGAATGTCTAGAAATTTTAAATAATTATATTTTCTCTTTCATTTTTTTTCCACCTCATTATGGTTATGCAAATTATTTGTGTTATCCATGTTTTGGCCATTGACGTAACAGAAGTCAGCATCCAGGACAAAAACTTAACTGCTTAGGGTCTGTTTGATTTTAGAAAATGTTTTCTATTTTTAATTTTAAAAAATGGTTTTCATTTTCAATTTTTGAAATTTAGAAAATATGAATGATTTAATTTCTCATTTTCTAATTTTAAAAAATGAAAATAATGAAAATGTGTTTGGTTTATGTATTTTCAATAATAAATTTATAACATATATCTTCAACAATATTAAAACATCACAAATTCAAATATTTACAATTGAAATAAGTATATATTTAATTATATATATATATATATATACACATTTTAAAAAAATATAATATAATATTTGATGAACTAAATATTTTGTAGTATGATAGATAAAAAAAATTCATTTTAAGATATTCTTTATTATTAGTTAAAAATCAAATTTATTTAAAATTACAAAAAAAATAATAAATATTATTTAATGAAATCTACTCCAATAATTTTTATCGAAATAATGTTGAAAAGAGTATTTTATTTTAATATTTTAATTTAAAAATTAAAATAAAATAATGTTGTTGGAACTTGGAAGAGTTGCGAAATTTGGTGAAGATTGGTTTTTCTTATGCTACTTTTCTCCTTTATAAGAACAAAAACCATATTTCTGGAAGAAAAAAAACACTAAATGAATAAAATGAAATTATGGATATACAGAACAGTAATTGGACTGTTATGGAGCAACTGAGACAGATGAAAAAGATCTATTCAAAAGTAAAAAGAAAAAGGAACATATTGTTGGCTGCTGAGAGGATTTAGAATGCACAACTCATCTGATAGGGTGGTACTGATCAGAAACTCGTCTTGGGGGCAGCTTTCTCAGTATGAAGAGCACCAATGCTGATGGAACAATCTCTACCAACTGCAGTGCAAAATAATCCACAAATATTACAAATGTTCATCTTTATATTAACCATATGAAGTCCCTCTAGCATATTAATAGTGACAAATACTTTCTTCCGAGATCTTCACCTGATTATACTATAGCTTTTGAGTAGTTGATACTCCTATTATTATAAGCACGTGTTAGAGGATGCATGCCTACAGATTTTATGTTAATAGTTCTGAAAACCTCCATTTTTAACCAGTTTGCACACAAGTTTACAGAGTATTTCTACCGGAAAAAAGCTCTTTATTTTTAATAGAAAAGTCTCTTTTAAACTTATATCCAAATCCAAACAAAGTATTTGTCCTGCTGACATCTTTCATGGTGTTATTAAAACTTTCACTTCTTAAGATGACTAGCTGGTGTTTCCTAGCATGGAAAATAATGGAGGATTTCAAATAGGTTTATAATGCTATTTTAAACCATATTTGCTTCCCATCTGAAATTTAAGATGGCATAACCCCCATATTCTAAAATTATTTGAACTTTAAAATCTAATTTAAAACATTTTCTAATGCAATTTCCTATACCTCTTTACCCCAGTAAGGTGGAATGTAATTTAACCTAAACATTGTAGAAAGAAGAGTCTAGAACACATTCCCACTTCCCTATGTATAATAGGTATATTGGTCCCATTGCTGCAAACTCTAATTCTACTTTAATTATAAATATGTCATTTTTATTTTTATTTTCATTTTCTTTTAAGGAGTCATCAAGGATATTCCCCAAATAGTCAAAGACTAATTTCTTTTGAGACATACAAATCACCGAAGTGAGTTATGTCTCTCTAGTAAAGTCTTCTTCATACACACATGGTCAGGGGATCAAATATTTTTTGTTTAGGAGAGCAATTTAACATGATATAACTAAGCACGATTCCCTATTCCTCCCTGGCTGACTAAGAAAAACAAGATTTGGACTTACCAAATAGTACACTAGGTTAAGAATGGGATGGTTCAAGACATGAAGATCTGGATCCTCTTCAAATGCAGAAAATGCCAGCTACATTAAAGGCGAAAACAAAGATATTGTCAGAAAACAATAACTTCAAACAGAGGCAGTAGTTTTAAGTTGGAAGGAACTCACCAAAACACATCTTATCAAGAAACATGTGCAACAAATACTTGTAACAGATCCAACCTGCAAAGGTGAAAAGTTAGGCACCAACTGCTTTTACCAGAGTTTTGAAGTCCTCAGACAATTTTTACCACAAACTGAACATGGTCTGAATTTGATATTTAAGGATATACTTCTTCTCTTAAGGTTGAAAAACATACAGCACTTTAGACACAAACCTCATAAAGTTTCTTTTGGCGGCCTCTAGATTCAATGGGGAAGCGCCTCAACAAGAAAAACAACCTACGTCATTCTGATTAGGTTAGTGTTCAATGACATAACAAGGATAGTGCCATCCGAAAGACAACAACTTACCTTCCACCATACAACAAAAATCCAAGAGCAGCAAAGAATGATATGACTGCAAAAGAATGTTAAAGCAAAGTTCACAATACTAAAAAACTATACATAACGAGTTTCTGAGTAGCAAGTATACTTCATTATATATTCACTCTAGCTTTTTATTTTAAGTCATCATAGACACAGATGTTTTAATCTTCTAAAAAAGGCTTGAAGTCCACACAGTATATGAGGGTAAGATGAAAACTAAATATTGACACAAAAATGTCATAAACGAAAATGATGATGATAGAAATAACCTGCAAGGAAGAGTTTTGCTGCTTCCAAGCCAGTAGCAGTTTTGCTTACACTCATGTAAATCCAGAGGATGATCTATTATTATCAAGGTGAGAAGATCAAAATAAAATCATTAAACTAACTAGTAAGAATTTTTATTTTAAGGACTAGAATGGTGGAAAAGGAAATCAAGATTATGCGCTTGCCTGAATCATGTAAATAAAGCCATTGATAATAAAATAAGCAGGCCTAAGTTTCTGTGCTGGTTCGCTTCTTGCCTGAAATGAATTTGAGGCACATAAACAGAATATAAGTTAATGCAAAATAATATATATATATATATATATATATATATATATATATATATATAAAA